CTATTAAAAATGATGGTGAGGTATACCCCACCTATTAAATTTAATATAAACTTAAGAATCAAATACAGAATCAAAGAAAATTGTTAGGATCCTTACTTATATCTCATATTGATTCCTTACAGTTATTGCTTATTCTTCTAATAAATATTCCAAACAATTAAAATCCATTAGAGTTTTTTGTTAAAAAAATAGAGATGAAAAATTCATGATTTTATTATTAGTAACCATATTTCAAGATCCAAAGACACTCCGAATGTTATTCTCAATTAACCTTTTTTCTTATTATCAAAGACTTAATATAATTTACAGTATATTGTATACTTATTCCAAATGCATTTCTAGTATTTAAATAATAGTGTATTTCTAATAAACCTTGATCAGAAAATCACTCAGATGATATTAAACATGGTTTTTATTGTTACATGAGGGATGACGTTTTATTTACCAGATAATCTTATTCACAACAATACAAGTATTAATCCTAAAATAAAATTATATGCATTATTGCTTGAATCATTAACCGACAGTGTAACATTTTGAACTTTTCTCAAAAGTGGTCGAATAAACACACACCATAGGCTTGGCGTGATAAACTTGATGAGTATAATTTTCATTTGGCAAGTGGCTAAAAATTAGAGTATATTTTATTATCGTTACTACTTAAGGCACATGTAATTCTACGCTTATATGTTTTATACTAACAAATAGTAGATATTACTGTACTAGAATAATGACCGAATTTTCATTATGTGTTAATTAAAAAAGAACAATAGAGAGAAGGAAAGAACGTAATAAAAGAAAGAAATAAAGAAGGTAATACATTAATATAATACAGATGACGCACTACTGTTTACTTTTCTTTGGTCAATGCAAAGGCTGAAAAAATACCAGGATATTGATTGTAATCTGCATAGAATGTAACTATACAAAGAACCTGTTTGTATAAGAAAATCAGTGTACAGTATGGACAATAGACATACAGTAATTGCAAACCCCGCCGTTAAATCCGTAGTCCCTTTCATAATCAGAGTATCTTATCTCAATAAACAATTTAGATTTATCGGTAAGTTCGCTTCCAATATTTCCGGAAATGTTAAAATAAGCACCCCGATTGGCCACTAAGTCGTGTGGTTTGGTTACAACAATGAGAGGTGCTATTATGTTACCACAACTTTTGAAATCAGTGGTTTTTTTGACGAGTCGATTTGGGATGGACTCGATGATTGAAATCGTGATCAATAGAATATCATTTTTTTGTGACCGTCAACAGTTTGGTAAAAACAATCTTTGATTTTTTTTGTGTTTGTTATTACGATGTCAACCTTTTTATTGAAAAATAGCGAGCAATACTCTACTTTAAATAAGTGTAATTAGATCTATCTTAATATTATCGTTTCGTTTAAAATCAATATACTGTGTGCACGAGATAATGAGGATCGTTGCCTTGAAAAGTTAATTTGTGCATAGTACGCACATGTGGTTAACGTTGACCTTTTAATATCACAGTTTAACCTTAATGAACGATGTCAATACAGTAATTCTGTTTTGGTGGGCTCTTATAAAATTACTGTCTATATACAGTACATATCAGTATTAAATGATTAGCAATAAATTATATTTTAAAATACGTACGTATGCTGTATATAAAAACATTACCTAAGAATCGTTTAGATGTATACATGCATCGTTCGTTTCCGTTTGTAATAAACAAACGAATTTTCAATTTAAATATGTAATTATTTTTACGTTACATTCATTATATACTGTATATGGGTAATTCTTTTTGAAGGCGGACAGGGATTTTTCTGACTTTATAATTGTACTCCTAGAATTTATATTGTATATGTATTGTTCAAAAAATAGGGATCAAAAAATCGTATATAACATTTTTGTTGTTTTCAAAAAGAATCAGCCATATACTGTAAATATTTCACATCATTGGATATATGTTTTATCGAAAGTTTATTATATAGTATTAACAATAAAAAATTTATAATTAGAACAGCAAATTTTTTATCTAAAAACTTAAAAATTAAAAATTAACTAAACGGTGTATAAATATAGATGATTTTTCATAAAAATTTTTTATTATTTTAAGAATGATAAAGGAGAAGCTTACAGCAATCGACAGTATTTTTGTACACGTTTTATACATACAGTATGTATGAATATTATAATTCTTTATTAATTTCAACTCCTCTTTTCATCCCCGTCTAATGATGCGGTAATTACGACGAAAGAAAAGTAATGATATAACTGACTTACTATTGTGTGTGATTAATAAGAAATTGCACAACAAACCATTAAAAATAATCCATATTTTTTTCTTGAAGCGTTAAACCCTTTAAAAATAATATGAAAAAGAACGAATCATCTGTTGTCGAGGGGAAAAGGCAGGGAAGCTTCGAGTTTCACCGAGACTGGTTGACAGATCATCTTCCACACTGGGAAAAAAGATTAGGTCACCTGACCCAGCAAGAAATAAACGTTCTAGAAATTGGAGCGTTCGAGGGTCGATCGACAACTTGGATTCTACTAGAGTTATGTAAGAATCCCAGATCCAAGCTAATAACGATCGACACATTTGAAAGAATCTTTGAAAAAATCGATAACGAGAAGATATTTCATGAGAATATTAGAAAGACTGGCAGAGAAAGGCAAATAGAAATTGTCAAAAGTAGATCTTATGATGCATTGATTCAACTAAACCAAAAAAAAGAGATCATGTTCGATTTCATTTATATCGACGGTTCTCATATTGCTTGCGATGTCCTATCCGATATCGTTTTGTCCTGGAGTTTGCTTAAAGAAAACGGAATTCTAATACTTGACGATTATCAGTGGGGTTTTTTCAAAGAAGAGCACAACAATCCTAAGATGGCGATCGATGCCTTCATGAAGTGTTACCAATGGCAAATAGAAGTTCTCGACATGTATTATCAAGTAATTATTAGAAAGGTGACACGAGAGAATGTCGGGACAATAGCAGAGGGCAAAGATTGGAGGACTGATTGCTAAAAAAAATCGGATTATATCAATGCCATTGCTTCCACGAAATACCAAGGAACTCACCTTCCGATTGAATATTGCTACATTTACCTTTAGAAAAACGCTGAAATTGCCAAATAAAATGCTGATTACGTTTTGTTTTTTTTTGCGTTACATAACAATTACTCATCAGAATATACTGTTCTTGTACCTCGCTAAAAAGAAATGCATTCATGGATTTTGTTTTCTTTTTGGTATTGATCATATTTCTCTAAAAGGCACAACCATTTACGGTTTGTGCAAGAATACATCTACGGTATATAAAATACTTTGTGTATTTATCTTGGTAAGCACGTAATAGTGAACTCGGTTTGGAAATCGAACTCCGAATTAGGAATAGAAAAGTGAGATTTGGATCACATCACTTGTCCTTTGATTCCATTAATAGTGATTTCGTTGCATGCATTGAATCCCTTTTTATTATGGTAGTTGCACAATAGACGAAACGAGTCACTCTTTGTTTTTCACAACTATAAAATTGGTAACCCTCATATACACGCTATTCGCAGTTTCTTGACCAAAGTGAATAATGACCAGCAACATCGAGATCTCTAAATTGCTCGGACAAAAATCACCCTACAAGCGCAAACCGCGTACGAGGAAGTCCGATTTTATGAATAACAGATTAATCGTTCCTGGTATTCCTGTTGAATTTCCGAGGCCCAAATACAAAACCCGGCTACCAAAATTTGAGATCCCACTAAAATTGAAAAGAATTTTTGTAAAGTCCGAATCAGATGCTCTTTCGACAAGCGAACTCAAGGATCTTCAGTTAGATAATAGCAGCAATTATGAGAAATTCTTTAATACTCTTCTCTTCGCGGAAGAGTACCAGTTGACAAATGACATTATGTTGTATGATCAGGAAGGCGTGGAAATGAAGAAAAAGGGTAAAAGGAGTCCTTATTTTACATTGCAAGTGCCTGGACTTGCAGAAAAACGACCTTCGGTGATTGTTGGAGATCATGTTTTTGTTGTGAGATGCGGGGAAGATGAAAAAGGGAAGGCATACCAAGGGTTTGTTCATCATGTCGAAGAAACGAGTATCTCAGTAAAATTCAAGAAAGAATTTTCTCGCGTGTACTCTTCAAATACAAAGTTTGACGTCCGGTTCACCTTTAATCGATTACCAATGAGGAGGATGCATAATGCTATTAAATGTGCGGATACTATTAAACGTTTATTTCCCTCAAATGAAGTAAGAACACCCAAGGATATGGATGAAATCATGCAGAGAAATAGCTTTAAAGCTATCGACAAATCTATTGAGAATAACAAACACCAAATGCGTGCGGTAATTCTCATCAAACAAGAACTTTATCATCCCGCTCCATTTATCGTCTTTGGTCCGCCTGGGACAGGTAAATGCCTTTTTTTTGGCTTTTTTTTTTCTCGTAACCATCTTGTATGTCATTACATACACTTGAAATTGTAGGCAAGTCCGTTACTATTGTGGAAGCAATGAAACAGCTCCTGGATGAAAAAGAAAATGTGAGGATTCTTGCCTGCGCGCCCTCAAACTCTGCGGCCGACGTACTATTGATGAAATTGAGCATAACTTTGTCACCGGATAAGGTGGCTAGGATCAATGCCGCTTATCGGGATATTAAAAAAGTATACTCTGATAATCTTCGCGAATATTGTAAAGGTCTCGACTTGAAAAGCTTTGAGAATCACAAAATTATTGTGTCTACGTGTATTACCGCAGGTGCAATACATGCGCTCGGTGGAAGGAAAAATTATACCCACATCTTCATCGACGAGGTATTGAATATGATTTAGAGTTAACCTTTCATATGGTCCAAAAAGCTAACACACTGTTACATGATAAGGCAGGACAGGCCATGGAACCTGAAATTTTGACTGCGCTTCAAAATGCATCAAAGGATACCAAGATTATCCTAGCAGGCGACCCAAGGCAATTGGGACCAATTGTTCATTCTTCAATTGCGAAAAGGTTGGGTCTTGGAAAATCTCTTATTGAACGTCTTGTAAATAGGGAGAATAGTCCCTATGACTTTAGCGAGACTTGCACTTACGGTGTGAAACTCCGTATGAACTATCGTTCTCATCCGGAAATCCTCAGGGTTCCGAATGAATTGTTCTACCAAAACGAGCTGGAAGCGTGCGGCGACGAAAGTATCATCCAAAGCTTACTTAATTCCAATGCCCTCCACAAAAAGAACTATCCGATCAAATTTGTAAGTGTATACGGACGAGATATGCAAGAGGGTCGCTCTCCATCTTGGTTTAATATCGATGAGGCTGCAGAAATTCTTAAAATAGTACGAGAACTCGTAGAAAAAGATCATGTCAGAATAGAAGATATTGGCATAATTACTCCCTATTGTAAACAAGTTGAAAAGATCAAAATATTGATGGAAGAACATAATTTTGATGGATTAGATGTTGGTACCGTGGAAAATTTCCAGGGACGTGAACGACCTGTGATCCTCATTTCTACTGTTCGTTCGACCTCCAAAAATTTGAAGCATGATAGAAAGTTCTGTCTTGGATTTCTCAACGAACCAAAACGATTCTGTGTTGCCGTTACCCGGGCACGGGCCTTTATGGCAGTTGTAGGAAATCCAAACTTACTATTTTTGGATGATCATTGGAAGAGATGGTTGAAAGAAGTGAATATAAAGGGTGGTTATATTGGAACGTTCCCAAAGGAGACCGATGACGGTGAAGAACAACTTTAAAACGTCACGCCTCTATTCATTGAATGTTACCATCTACATATATTTTTGAATAAGAAACTTAGTAAATGTTGCCACATGCACGATGAAATTTCAATTATTAATCATTATTAATTTTATTAACAACTGTTATAACTTTCTTTTGTATCCATTAGAGGTACATAATCGCCTCTGATGATTATATTATTATAGTTACTGTATATTTTATTTTTGAATGATCATGTTTATTTAATTCGAAGCCAATAAACTCATCTTTAACGGCGCAAGCCACTCTTCAAATTAAATTTCGAATTTTAAGTAAAAATGAATAAATAAAATTTTGCTCTTTAGAAAATCGCATTTATAAATAATGTGCATTATTATAAATGAATTGAGGTTTTCAAAAAAATTTTTTCAGGTACGTATATAATATTCAATTTAATTAACCTGTTTACCAATAATTCAATATGGTTTAAAAATAATCGAAAAAATGAATTTTTTTTATTTATAATTCAATAACTGCTACAATTAATGAAATAAAATAAATACATAAATAAATACATACAGTATATTTTAAGATATAAAAAATAAAGTTTGGTGAAAATTTTTTTCTAAGAAAAAACTCTTTTTACTGACGCTCTTCTCAATTCAAAAAACAAATGTTTCAAAAAATCATTATTTTTTTTTTTCAATATGATAAAATCTATATACTTTTTTTAACAATACTATTTTAGTTATTGTTCACTTGTTTCTTTTTTCTTTTTGTTTTGAAATAAACTTTATATTTTTGTAAATAAATATAAGAAAATTGATTTCAAAAAGTCAAAAACAAAAATATTTTGTTAAAAAAAAACATGTTGAAAAAATATTTTCTTGAATTTAAAACTTTAAAAAAATAGTTATTTTTATCTTATTTAAATCTTTTTGTTTATATCAGAATTTTTAAATTAATCAATTAATATACTGTATAACAAGAAATATTATATAAATAAGATACGTGTATTTTATTTTATGATAATAAAATAAGATAATAAATATTGATTTTATTTAAAATAATATAATTTTTTTTTTGTATTAATTTCTTTTCTTTTCAAGATCAAAGAAAGATCTTATTTTCATTTAATAAAAGATTTTTTTTTATTATTAATTATTTTGAAAAAATATTTAAAGTTTTGTCTATTTGATTTATAACAAAAACATTTTATTGAAAAAAAAATCTATTGAAAAAATATTTATTATTATATATTATTTAAATTTAAAACTTTAAAAATATATTACTGATAATTTTTATATTTTTCAAGCTTTATAAAATCTTGAGTTTATTATATATAAATATTTTTTATTACAGCAAATAAATAAGTTAATAATAATTCTTGAAATATACAATTCTTTTTATTAATTATATAATTTATATTATGGTTTCAAATATATTAATAAAATTTTTGTTTATTTCAATTTGATCTTGAAATTTTTATTATATCAAAATTTCTAATTAGTAATTGATCAAAATTTTAATTTAGTTAATTAATATATAACAAAAATATAAACGAAATATAAATTTATATAAGTAGATTACAATTCATATATTGTTGTGATGAAATCACAGCAAGTCAGTTGCTTCGATCTGTCTCACGCCATGTAATGATCAAGGTGGTTTCTGCTCAAAAGAAGCGTGTGAATTTGGCCAGAGTTTGTAACACTGACGCAGATCAGTCTGTCGATCTTGCATCCTCAATGATTACTTCACGCGCAGCAATTCCGTTAGTTACGCGATGCTGGGATCAATCACAAGGCAATAGTTTATCAAATAAAGATGGTTTTTATTTAACAGTTGCGCAGTACCTATTCTGGTTCTTCCCACTTTTTGACCATTCTCAGGTCACTTATATACATTTTTATTTTATACCTATTATACCTATTATACCTATTATACCTGATATACCACTTATACCTGATATACCGTTTATACCTAATATACTTATCCTTATAATTTCCTATCATCTACCCATCATTTTTCCTTACAACCATATTAAATTTATTATAGGCTAATACTATTTTAATATTAATTTAATATTAGTTTGATACTTTTCAAAATCCAAATTTTATAGATCTTTAATAAAAATTAATTTAGCAGATTAAGTAATTTAAACTAATAGCAAAATTTTTATTTTTTTTTATTTTTTTTTATAAAATTGCAAATAGACATTAAATGCGAGACTTTTATTAAATAAGAATTCATAACCATTATATTAAAGATCTTTACATAAGTAAATTAATCCTAGTCTATTGCAAATTTTCCTATTAATAGCAGCTTATACCAAGTAGATGAACACATGCTAATAATATTGAATGGCTAATGCCTATTCAAAATGATAATATAATTGTAGAAGTAAAAATAATTTTATCAGTTAAGTTATTATTAGTTGCTAATATGTTAAATATTTTATAATAGGTCATATCATTGTTTTTAATATTATGGTTGGATTCTGTAACTGCAGATTTTTTCCATTTGACTCCTGAGGTTAGTGATGTGATGGCTGTCACTGATTGCTCTTTTCAAACTTTGTAGAAAATTTTAAGTGCTTTATTTGACATGTCACTTTTGTTGTTTTGTATTTTGTCTAGAGGCAGTTATAGGTTTCTAAGTGTAAGATTCATTATATCCAGTGTTAATATTGATATAAATATTGGTAAGAATCTGTTTTTGATGTTTGCTTAGTATAAACTTATGTTAAGATGATTTATCAAATTTTTTTTTCTTTTCGATTGTCTGTTAGGTATGAATACATGAAAAAATGTGCTTTTGATTTTCTGAGTATGCTTTGTACCGTAAACAAAAATTGCTTTCATATAGACTTGGATATCTTTTGAATAGTTTAACTCTTGTGGGTAGCTGATTTGCAATAAGTTTGGTTCTGAACACTGACAGACTTTTGAATTTCAATTGATCACTTTTCCTAAGTTTTTTGTTAGCACTATGGATTAGTTCTAGTGTAAGTGTTGAGACAATCTTGTAGATTGCTAACTGACTTAAAAGGATATCAAAAAATTAGTGTAGTAGTTAACAAATTTTATCCAGTGTATGATACTAATGAAATGTGTGTGGTTAATTAAGGTGAAGTGTTATCTATTTTTATGAATATTTGTGAAATTGGAAAACTGTTACTGGAATCTGAAGGTGATGAGCTCTTGTGCTCTTTTTTTGTGATCCATTCAAGTGTTATATTTTTGTTGTTCTGCTGGAAATTTATTATTTTGATATATCTGCTATATGGCACTTTGACTTGGCAGTTGGTATACTCTAGTAATTTTAGATTTGATTAGGTTTGAAGTTGACATTTGATTGTTGAATCAGCAAAAATTTCTTGTATAGTCTTTAGTAGAACAGGCCATAATCCTGCCTATGTATTAGCGTTTAGTTTGTAGATTGTATTTACATTGGGTTTTTGGATGATAATTTTTTCCTTAAAAAAAAAGATGTTAATTGTTATGGATGGTGGTGAGGTTGTAAGAGATTTGGTTATTGTAATATATGGCAATGGGCATGAAGATATAGAGAGAAGGAAAAGTAATTCTTCAATATTGTTTAGAAGAAAAGAGTAATTGTTGTATGTTGTTGTCCATATTGATTTGGTAATAATGATGTCTTTTTCTATAATATAAGGTTGTGTACCACAAGAGCACTGTTGGATGTTTTTGTTGGGTAGAACTTGATAGTGTTGTCCTTTGACTGTTTGTTGTTGAGTTGCATTTTTTCTAGTTTTGATCAGGTCGATTGTTCCATTGTTAATACAGGCTTGGAATTGGAGTTTTGGATTAGGTACTGGGAATGAGTTTCAGTGATTGTCTGATTTGTTAGTGATATGTTCTTGAACCAATTTGGAATAGGGCCTGTAGATATGTGTCCTTTATGGGTGTGAAGCTCATCCTATGAGAGTCTGCTATTACTATTGTACATATATGTGTCTTTTATAGTTTTGATGTTTGTATAGAAAAAAGAAAGTGCTGTAGATTTGTCAATACTAGTTATAAGCCTAATAGACAAATTGTAGTCTGGAATTTCAAATGGACATGGTTAAAGGCAGATGTTAATTTGATATTTTTTGACTATTTGTGCAGTCAGTGTTAGTCAGCATTCTCTGAAGTAGTATTAATTGCAGATTGGACATATCCATATGACATGTGCTACTTGGAAAGACTTGATTTCCTCGATGAGGGAAGTATAAGTTTTTTTGTTGATAAGTCTTGAAACTAGAAGTTTGACTGCTGTTATATAAACTCTATCTTGTAACTTTATTATATTTAGACCTGCTTGTGCATATAGGATTTTGTTTAAAATGGTTTTCTCAACTCCTAGTTTGCTTTTGATGACTGTGTTAAACCTTGCTTGCATTTTTCTGATGTCATTGTCATTGGATATAATTGCCTGAATTGCATAATCTATTTGAGCTGGTATTATTCAGTGAGAAGCTTGTCTTGTAATTAGACCATTTAATTCTTTTTGGTTGATAATTGCTTTAGTGAAATTTGAGACTTTTTTCTTGAAAAAATTTTTTGTTGCAATGGAAGAGGACTTTTCGGAAAGATAGATGCTGAGATATCTAATTAAGCTATTATATGGCATAGAATGCACTGGTGTATCTTCAACAAGGAGAAACAGTTTTCTTCGATCATTTTTTGGCTTGAGATTTGTAATAAGTTCTGTTTTGCTTTTGTTGTACTGGATTAGATTCAAGGATAGAAATGAGCAAAAAGTATCAGTCACATTTTGTAAGGCTCTTATGTTATTATTAATAATAGCAACATCATCCATGTAAGCTAATATTGTCAATTTGTTAATAGTGTTTTGAATTACCGTGCTAACCATTGGGTTATAGAAAATTGTCCAAAATGGTATTTTACCTTGGTCAATTCTCTTGTTGATTTTGAGAGGATCTGTGAATTTATAGTATGTAATTATTTTAAGCTCTTTTTTTCTGAGCAAGTCAAGAATTAGTTGGCTAGTTTGGTTTGGAATTTTTATT